TCTGCTGTGTGTCTGAGGTGCCTGCTGGTGAAGCATGATTTGGGAGGGAGGATGCCCAGCTTGGCTCTGCTGTGTGTCTGAGGTGCTTGGGAGACACTCTGGACGTGTTCAAGCAGCTCTTCTCCATCAGAGTCTGAAGCTCAGGAAATTCCTAAAGCTGTGATTAGAGCAAGAAATGAAACCCTGAAGTCAGTGGTGTGTGACTGGATACCGGCACCAAGGGCAGAAGGGCCAGACCTGTGCTCAGCAGGGCCCAGGCCGGCCACAAAGGCCCAGAGCGTGGACTTGCTGAGGCATTCATTGTGTGCTGCCTGCTGTGTGCTGGGCCCTGTTCCAGTGCTTCGAACATACACAGTCAGATGCAAATATAAGAAGTTATACAGTTTGTTACGAGATGATTGATGCTGTGGGAAAGATAACAGGCAGGATAGACATGCCGGAAGGGTTGGGAGCCAGCTGCAGTGTCAAGTCAGGAAGGTGGAGTTGGAGCTAAGAGTTAACCCAGGTGAGGGGTCTGGCCGGGGACACTGCACAGGTGACAGCAGCAAGGAGGGAGGGGTGAAGTCAGCAGTGACGGGCGTGGGGCTGGAGAAGAGAAGGAGGTGGGGCACAAGAGTCATCTCGGGAGGCCGGTGCCACCTCAGAAGGTGAATGGATTCAGCTTGGGTTCCAGGCCAGAGCCTGGAAGTTGGAGCACTTCACTCTAGCTTCCTGTTGAGAGGACTCCTCTGAGTACTGGGCTGTAAGCCCACCATGGGGGCAAGCATGGGAGCAGCAGACCCAGCAGGGCCCTTGTAGGTGATCACTGGCTGGCACTGGCTGGGGGCCAGGTAAAGTCAGCAGAGGCTGAGGGGTGCTGGAGTCTGGGTGTGTGTGAATGCAGAGTGGACATGTTGGCACAGTGTCTGGGAGGGTGTGGATTCCCAAGGACTCCAGGGCTGTGGCCGGAGCAGCTAGAAGGATTGAGCCACCGTTTCCTGAGATGGAGAGCCTGCTAAGTGGGTTTAGGGGAGCTCAGGAACTCAGCCTTGTTTCCACAGATTCGAGGCTGTGCTGCGGACTGGAGGTGTCGAGCAGGCAGGTGGACACATGAGTCGAGAGTCCAGGAAGGACCAGAGGCAGGAGTTGTATAGGGTTCAGCCCTACTGGGTCTGGAGGGTATTCTCTACCGGTGCGGAGACAAGAGACTGTACAAATAAACACACAAGACACCGAGATCAAGAGAAAGAGGGTTGGGCCCAGCGGTCCACTGCCACCTCGTACGCGGAGCTCAGTAGTGGCCCTGAGCGCCTGGACACTCCGACTTCTGTTGGGTACAAAACTGGGGGCAGGGTCATGAGTCTAAGGGACAAAGGGCCGAAGCGGGGTTGGGCGCAGTGAGTGTCAGCACTTTAGGTTATGCCTTTCAAGTAAGAACAACGGCTTCAAAAATGATGCTACTTCTTACTGTCTACGGAAGGGGAGCCAGATGCAGAAGTAGGGAGTGAGAGCAGACACAGATTGTAACCGGTAGAGACAAGCCCCTGGGCAGCTGCGGGTTGGGCTGACTACTGTCAGTCCTTCCACAAGCACGTGGGGGAGTGGAGGGCACCGACTCGCCCAGGGACAGGGATTGTTCCCTTCCAACGCCTGCTGAGTAGCAGGTGCTTCCCCAAGCACTGGTGCTACCGCAGATTTCTGACGCCCTCCAGCAACCCTTATGCGGGGGCGACAGAGGGCTTGGCTTCACATTCAACAGATCATCTCTGCTGATCAAACCAGTCCATGCTCCACAGCTGTTTATGCCCTTGCCTTGTGGCCACATCCTATAGTGTCCACTGTCAGTTCCTGACCACGGCAACTTGAAATTCCTAGAAAATTATGCATAGGCTGGGCGCGGTGGCTCAAGCCTGTAATCCCAGCACTTTGGGAGGCCGAGGCGGGTGGATCACAAGGTCAAGAGATCGAGACCATCCTGGTCAACATGGTGAAACCCCGTCTCTA